CCCATCATTATGTTTTTTTCCCCCTGTAGAGAGGTTAGCTGGGGCTCGTCTCTCTCTGGGGCAGCGGGGAATCACACCACCTCACTAAACTCGGGAAGATGTCTTGTGGGGAATTAGTTCAGCCGCAGGAGTCTTCTTCTCTGCCCTTTGTGAGGGCAAAAATAAACACAGTGAGCCCAGGCCCTAGGTCAGGGAGGGGCAGTGGTGGGTGAGGCACTCAGGGCCTCAGGCAGGGGCTGAGAAACAACAGTAGGCCCAGGCCCTAGGTTCCAAAGGGCCTGGGAGAGGGGGAGACGGCCACCCATGAGGTGGGTGGCAGGGGGGATGCAGGCCCTCCCACTCCACTGCGTCCCAGCCCGGGGCTCTAGCAGCGGCACAAGACCCGTTGCTGAGTCAGTGTTGATCCTGGCCGCAACACACTGACATGGGTTCTGGCAGTGCTGCAGCCAGACTAGGGTTGGCTGCCCCTGGGCTACTTCCTGACTCCCCCTCTTGAGGTACCTGGGTCAGGGTGGTGTCCTGCTGGGGGTCCAGTACCATGGGTTCCTTGGGATAGCTGGGGAGGGGCACACTGGGCAGCTCCTCCTGGTAGCTGGTGCGGGGCAGGTTTGGCAACTCCTCAGGGTTGCTGGAGTGGGGCAGGTCAGGCCAGTCCTCGGGTTTACCGCAGGCCACTGGGGTTTCCCAATCACGAGCTAGGCCGGAGGCGTCTGGACTCCCTGGTTGATGCTCTCCCAGTGAGCTCTGACCTCGAGCCTTTATACTTCTGGGGCAACGCCTGACCCTCTGGGGTGTGGGCTCAGCGCTCACTGGCTCCGCCCACTCTGGTGTCTGGAAGGACTCATCTCCCTCCGGGGCGGCAGTGAACCACACCGTCTCACTACACCCCCTTTTATATCTTCTTCCAACTTTCTGGAAAGCCCTTTTGCTGTGACTTGTATCAAAGAGCTCCAGTTGTGTAGTGCAGTGGTTCTCAAACTTTTGTAATGGTGACCCCTTTCACATAACAATCCTCTGAGTGTGACCCCCTAAAAATTAAAAACAATTTTTTATATATTTAACACCATTTTAAATGCTGGAGGGAAAGTGGGGTTTGGGGTTGTCAGGGTTCCCCCCACTCTGAACTCTGGGGTACAGATGTGGGGACCCGCATGAGAGACCCACTAAGCTTATATTCTATGAGCTTAGGTTAAAACTTCCCCAAGGCAAAAATTCCTTTCCTTGTCCTTGGATGGTATTTCTGCCACCACCAAGTGATTTACACAAACATTCAGGGAAGGGTCACTTGCAATCCCTATTCCCCAAAATATCCCCCCAAGTCCCTTCAACCCCTTTCCTGGGGAGGCTTGAGAATAATATACCAACCAATTGCCTTAGTAATGTGAGCACAGACCAGATCCTATGTCTTCAGGACACTGAAATCAATCAGGCTCTTAAAAGAAGAACTTTATTATAAAGAAAAAAGTAAAAGAATCGCACCTGCAAAATCAGGCTGGAAGGTAACTTTACAGGGTAATAAAAAGATTTTAAACACAGAGGATTCCCCTCTGGACTCAGCTTCACAGTTACAAAAACAGGAATGAAACTACCTCTGTAGCACAGGAAAAAGCCAAAACAAAAGATAACCTAACACATTTTCTTGCCCTACTCATAGTTTCTGTGGTTTTAGATGGATTATTCCAGGTATACTTTCAGAAGCTGTTGTACCTGCTTGGCTTCTCCCTCCGTCCGGAGAGGGAACAACAAAAGAGAACAACAAACAAATCCTTTCCCCCAGATTTGAAAGTATCTTCTTTCCTCATTGGTCCTTCTGGTCAGGTGCCAACTAAGTTATTTGAACTGCTTAACCCCTTACAGGTAAGGCAATCCAGTACAGCTGCCAAGGAGGGATTTTATGCTACACTTTTCTTTATATTTATGACAGCATCACTATTTATAGTGTTACCATCTCCATCTAGTAAAAGCCTATGCGGCTATTAGGGTTTCCTTTGTTTCTAATATGCTAAAAAAATCTTATTATTATTTTCCTCAGCCCTGCTAGCCATGGATTTGTCTCTGGTGTCTTTTGCTTCCCTTATCCATTTTCTATATTTTATAAATTCTAATTTCTATCAATTGCTATCCACTTCCCCTGCTTTGGAAGCACTGATGGACGATCTCCTCCTGTCAATGGCCCGGGGAGACAAAAGCAACTGCACTTCTCTGGAACAATGGGACTCCTGACAGCAGGGGTAAAGCTCATCAGTGCAGGAGACAGAACTTTCTCGGGGGCCAGTACAAGGCTGCTCCAAGAACTCAATGAGCTCAATCTCTTCATGAGGAGAAGGTTATGGAGCGACGTGATTGCATTCATTCAGCACTGATAACAGAGAAAAGAAACTTGATAACAGCGGGATCTTAAAGCTAGCAAGCAAAGGTCTAACAAGAGTAGGTGTCTGGGCGTTGAAGGTAGACAAATTGAGACTAGAGACAAAGTGGAAAGTTTTTACAATGAGGGTAATTGACCATTGGAACAATTTAGCAAGGATCGGGTTGTGTCTCCATCACTGGTCATGTTTCAATCAAGATGGGATGTTTTTCTCAAAGATCTGCTTGAGTTCAAACAGGAATTTATCCAGGGCAGTCCTACATATTGTGCGAAGCAGGAGGTCAGAGCAAAAGATCACCATGGTCCCTCCTGGCCATATTATCTACAAATCTCTCTAGAGTCCCCTGCAAGGATAATATTTGTGTGGGCCTCATTCTGGGTCCCTGTCACACCCTGGGTGCCACATTTTGGGTCTGAGACAATTGAAAGGAATACAGGACATTCAAAGCTCAACGGTGCTTGCTATTAAATGCCATGGGTAGGAAATGAACCGACTCCCTGTGATTCTTTGTGCACCCCTACTTCTCTCCTTATAACACTCCCAGTGTCCTTCAGGGCATGAACCAAACTGTTGTGTGTCTGATGCTTTGTATCTATAATTCTAGGTGCACTGAATTTGGGCTGAAATCTAGTGTGTGACTGAAGAATGGAATGGGTGCATTCTCCTGCTCCAACCCCACTGATCTGAGCAATGAAGTCTTCAGTTAACTGTCCATAGTTGCATAGGTGCCGACTTTGTGGGTGCTCCGGGGCTGGAGCACCCACGGGGAAAAATTGGTGGGTGCTCTGCACCCATCGGCAGCTTCCTGCCCTGCCCTCCCGCCCCAGCTCACCTCCGCCTCCACCTCCTCCCCTGAACACGCCGCCACATCCTGCTTCTTCCCCTCCCTCCCAGCGCTTGCGCCGCAAAACAGCTGATTCACACAGCAAGCGCTGAGGGGGAGGGGGAGGAGGAGGAACGTGGCGTGCTCGGGGAAGAGGCAGAGCCAGGTTGGGGATTTGGGGAGGGGTCCAATAGGGGCAGGGAGGGAGCGGGGTCAGGGCAGGGGAGGGCTAGGGGCGCGAGTTGCATAGTTGCAGGTTGGGCTCATTAGCTTCAGCTCTGTGTAAGGGGACTGTTGGCCCCTTCGTAAAACTTAGTGAGGGTTTTTGGTTGGCCATCTCCCAGTACCAAAAGGAATGGTCGATGGGAATCAGGAAACTGAGACTAACAGGCCCCAGGGGCAATGGGGAGAGGCCTGGGGAGAAGCAGTCAGGGAGCTGGAGGCAGAGCAGCTGCAGCAGTGCTGAGGAAGAGTGGAGCTGGGGCTGGGGCTGGAGCATTCTGGGGCCACATGCTGTTAGCAGCTGGGGAGAGTGATGGCGATCCTTGGCAGAGACAGCCAAAATGTCTTGCAGGCTGGACTGGGAGTCTGACGCTGGGAAGAAGGGTCCTGCCACCTAAAGGCTGAGGGTGTGTGACCACCACCAGGGAAGCACAGCCAGGGCCTGGCAGGGAGGCCTGGGACATGTGAGGAACAGGCTGTGAACTTCCCTTACATTCCAGAGATGGCTGTTTGTGATGTCCCGTACCCACAGAGCAGGGTTTTGTTGTCCTTTAAACTTTTTCATTTTTCCTAATTTTTTAAATTGATTTGTGTTTAATAAATTGTATTGGATTGAACTATATGCAATGATCAGTGGGCCAGAGAAGTGCCCAGAGCAGAGAGAGCACCCCAGAGTGGGGACTCCCTAGCCCCTCTCCCCAGTGACCATGACAAGATTGAGGGTCGAGCCCCCAGGAATCCTGCGCCCAGCCTTCTTGGGGTTATGAGCACTCTGCCGCACAGGAGAGTGGAAGGGGAGCCCTCAACGTCAGGTAGGCCTCTGGGTAAAGGGAGTGGGAGCAAGGACTCAGATCCTTTCACTTGCCAATTCCACCAGGTTAGTGTATAAGCCAGGGAAGTTCCCCACAATAGCGGGACCTTTCCGCCACTTACATAATTGGCATCATGAAGAGAATCCTATCCATAGGATCCACCCCATTGGTTTACTGGTTGAATTCTGGTAGCACTGTCCAGGCCTGGTCAAGAACCCTACTACGGCTGGAATTGAAGAACTACAGACCCAGTTTGCTGAACTTCAGTGCAGATTATCAGAGGAAGCTGAAGCATTACAACAAGCTAGATCTGAACAGAGATAAGCCTTGTCACTGGCTAAGGCAGTATTAGACCAACAGGTGGCAGAAGCTAAGAAAACCCCCTACTATTAATGTCCCATGGGAGCAGAAAGTCACAGAGTTCAATGGCTTTACAATTAGACCAGGAGACATTACGGTAGATGAGTGGGTCAGTCTGTGAAAGCGGCTAAGAGTATCTGAAGAAGATTTTGTGGACTCATAGAGGTACACCTCAAGGACCAGGAGAAGGCCACCGTACAGTTCATGGCAATGGCAGACAAGAAGGAAGTGGAAAAGATATTTTAACTCCTCCTAGAAGTGTACGGAGACAAGATACCTATTGGAACCCAACTAAAGGAGTTCTTTGAGAGAAAGCAGGAGCCTGGTGAAACTGTCCGGGCATATGCCCATGACCTCCAGGACAGAATGAGCAAAGTAGGGTGATGAGACCCTTGATGAGTTCCAGATCCAGATATGGTTCTGAAAGAACAGTTAGTGCTGGCATTCAGAGATGATTCCCTCCATCGTGACATGAAAAGGAGTTTTAACTTATGCAGGCTGCTATTATGTGGTCTGATGAAGTGGAAGTCCCTGTGGAACAGATGGCCTAGCCCAATCCCTGTACATGAGGGGGGGCCTAGTGAATGCAACTGCTGTGGAAAAGACCCTCCTCCAAACACCGTTAACATTGGAAAGTTTAAGTGTAGCTGTCCAAAAACTGATGGTCCAACAGGAGGAGATGCTGAAAGTGATGAACGAGGAGATAATAATATAATATGGAGACATCCCAATCTCAGAGAACTGGCAGCCCCCTACCTTCACTAGCAGGAACAAGTATTGATTTTGCCCCAGATCCCTAAGTGGCCCTCTGAAGGATTGAACTCACAACCCTGGGTTTAGCAGGCCAGTGCTCAAACCACTGAACTATCCCTCCCCATGAAAGAAAAAAACCCAATTAGTATACCAAAGTATCCAAGAGCACCAGTGTAATGGGTTGGGTCACAGAGACCCCCTTCGGACTGCCAGCTGATGTGCTGAGACTACCTCTGAGCCTGTTTTCTGTGTCAGCTTGGGACTTCAGAACCCTGCCTTTTTGAGCCAGATATGCTAGCCTCCTACAAACACAGACCCAGGTCTGAGCCATGTCCCCCAAAGCTGCAGGCTTTTCTAAACTGATCTTAACACTTTCAGTATCCTTACAAACTTAGATGCTTCTCACCACAGGCTGGCTGGTTGTTCTTCAGCCAGGCTCTCCCCTTTGATCAGCACTTCAGACACTTGGTTTGGTGTCTGTAGATGTAGGTGGAAGAGAGACAAAGAGCAGGGCAAAGTTTCTCCCTTTTATCATGTTTTTCCTTCCCTCTTGGCTTTGTCCCCCCCTTCAGAGTCAGGTGAGCATTACCTCACTGCAGTCCCAAACTGACTAAAGGAAGGGGGTGACTAACCTGAGAATCTAACAGATCCTTTTGTTGTTGCCCAGGCCAATATCCTTTGTTCCTGTGAAACTGAGATGGGTTTTTCCCATACATGCCCTGAGGAGGTGTGAACTGCCTCTCTGCTCCTGGAGAGGTTTTTTTGCTTGCGCTTGTTTCAAGCCATGAGGATATATTTTCAGCATCATAACAATATATATGAAATTATTACCTATAACATCATTATAACATTACTGTAACAATTAATATAACATCAGTAGAAGACAAACAAATCGGAAAGAGTCTAGCGGAGGGCAACAAAAATGATTAGGGGGCTGGGGCACATGACTTCCAACACTAATCTTCTATGATTCTATATTGTCATACTATGAATTTATAAACAGGCAATATGATATTTTCTGTCTTATTAGCTATCCTTTTCTTAATTAATTCCAAACATTCTGTTCAGTTTTTTGATTGCCACTGCACATCTAGAGTATTGCATCTAATTTTGCCCCTCCCCCCCATTACAGAAATGATGTGGATAAACTGGAGAGAGTCCAGCACAGGGCAATGAAAACGATTAGGGGGCTGGGGCACATGACTTATGAGAAGAGGCTGAAGGAACAGGGCTTACTTAGTCTGCAGAGGAAATGTGTGAGGGGGATTTGATAGCAGCCTTCAACTACCAGAAGGGGGGTTCTAAAGAGGATGGATCTAGGCTGTTCTCAATGGTGGCAGATGACAGAACAAGAAGCAATGGTCTCAAGTTGTAGTGGGGGAGGACTAGGTTGGATATAGGAAACACTATTTCACTAGGAGGGTGGTGAAGCACTGGAATGGGTTACCCAGGGAGGTGGTGGGATCTCCTTCCTTAAAGGGTTTTTAAGGCCCGGCTTGACAAAACCCTGGCTGGGATGATTTAGTTGGGGATTGGTCCTGCTTTGATCAGGGGTTGGACTAGATGACCTCCTGAGGTCCCTTCCAACCCTGATATTCTATGAATCTATGATTCTATAACAACCATGTTCAGTGCATCATAAGCCTTCCGAAGACACCC